TCAGCTGAAAATGAGTGACCAGTGCACTGCTGTAGGCAAAAGGATTAGCAGAGAGCTCATTAGGTACATTGGAGGGCAGGGATCGGGTCCAGAGACAGATTGGAGGATTGGGCTAAAAGAAATCTGACGAGGTTCAACAAGGACAAGTGCAGAGTCCTGCCCTTGGGAGAGAAGAATCCCAAGCATTGGTACAGGCTGGGGGCCGACTGGCTAAGGAGCAGTTCTGCAGAAAAGGGCCTGGGGGTTACAGTGGATGAGAAGCTGGATAGGAGTCAACAGGGCGCCCTTGTAGCCAAGAAGACTAATGGCAGATTAGGTGCATTAGGAGGAGCATTGCCAGCAGATCTAGAGAAGTGATTATTCCCCTTCATTTGGCCCTCGTGAAGCCACATCAGGATACTCAAGGAGCTGATAGAGGAGGTATCTGAGCCTTTAGCTATGATCTTTGAAAAATCATGGCAGACAGGGGAGATTCCAGAAGACTGGAAAAGGGCAAATATTGTGCCCATCTATAAAAAGGGGAATAAGAACAACCCAGGAAATTATAGACCGGTCAGTTTAACGTCTGTCCCAGGGAAGATAATGGAGCAGGTAATTAAGGAAATCATATGCAAACACTTGGAAGGTAATAAAGTGATAGGGAATAGCCAGCATGGGTTTGTGAAGAACAAGTCATGCCAAACTAATCTGATAGCTTTCTTTGATAGGATAACGAGCCTTGTGGATAAGGGAGAAGCGGTGGATGTCATATACCTAGACTTTAGTAAGGCATTTGATACGGTCTCGCATGATATTCTTATTGATAAACTAGGCAAATATAACTTAGATAGGGCCACGATAAGGTGGGTGCATAATTGGCTGGATAACCGTAGTCAGAGAGTTGTTGTTAACGGTTCTAAATCCTGCTGGAAAGGGATAACAAGTGGAGTTCCTCAAGGGTCTGTTTTGGGACCCGTACTGTTCAATATCTTCATCAATGATGTAGATATTGGGATAGAGAGTACTCTTATTAAGTTTGCAGATGATACCAAACTGGGTGGGGTTGCAACTTCTTTGGAGGATAGGGACATAATTCAGAATGACCTTAGCAAGTTAGAGAAATGGTCAGAGGTAAACAGGATGAGGTTTAATAAGGAGAAATGCAGAGTGCTCCACTTAGGAAGGAACAATCAGTTCCATACATACAAGATGGGAAGCGACTGTCTAGGAAGGAGCATGGCGGAAAGGGATCTAGGGGTCATAGTGGACCACAAGTTGAATATGAGTCAACAGTGTGATGCTGTTGCCAAAAAAGCAAATATGATTCTAGGTTGTATTAACAGGTGTGTTGTAAGCAAAACTCGTGAAGTCATTCTGCCGCTCTATTCTGCACTAGTTAGGCCTCAGCTGGAGTACTGTGTCCAGTTCTGGGCGCCACATTTCAAGAAAGATGTGGAGAAATTGGAAAGGGTACAGAGAAGAGTGACAAGAATGATTAAAGGTTTAGAGAACATGACCTATGAAGCCAGGCTTCATGAACTGGGCTTGTTTAGTTTGGAAAAAAGAAGATTAAGGGGGGACATGATAGTGGTTTTCAAATATCTAAAAGGGTGTCACAAGGAGGAAGGTGAAAATTTGTTCCTCTTGGTTTCTGAGGACAGGACATGGAGTAATGGGCTTAAAGTGCAGCAGGGGAGGTTTAGATTGGACATTAGGAAAAAATTCCTAACTGTCAGGGTGGTCAAATATTGGAATAAATTGCCAAGGGAGGTGGTGGAATCTCCCTCTCTGGAGATATTTAAGAACAGGTTAGATAGACATCTGTCAGGGATGGTGTAGACGGAGCTTGATCCTGCCTTGAGGGCGGGGGGCTGGACTCGATGACCTCTCGAGGTCCCTTCCAGTCCTATGATTCTATGATTCTATGATTCTAAGTGCTCTTGCACAAGAGGGCTTATTCCTCATGGGGACAGGAATAATTCTTGCTCAAGAAGCCCTCTGTTCCGACACTTTACTATAAATGTACTTGCACAAGAACGCACGTGCACTGTAGACATAGCTCCGCAAGTTTTTGCACAAGAACCCTGCAAGTGTAGACAGCCTCACTGCTAGCTTAGCTGAGAAGGTGAAGGGGTGACATGGTTACTCTGTGGGTCCCCTGGCAGATAACAGATATGTAATCTGGGGTTTTCAGGCTAGCAGAGAAAGGTCCGTGGCAGGAGACTGAAGCTAGATATATTCGGACTGGAACGGGAACGAAGTTCAAGTGTGAATAATTAGTCATTGGAACAGTCTACCAAGGAGTGTGGGGGCGGTGGATTCTCCATCTCTGACCGTTTTAAAGTGAGCATGGGGTGTTGTCTAACTGACCCGCTCTGGGAATTATTCCGGGGAAATCCCCTGGCCTGCAGGGATGCCTGGGGGGGATGTGCACAGGGAGGGCCCCACAGCTGCCCATCGCTGTCCTATCCATAGGATGGTTTGATGCGGTTGCCCTAGGCTCTGTGCTTAGGGGGACCCCTGCAGCTGCCCCAATCACCCTATAAATGGAATAGTCCCCCCTACTCAGGTTAACCCGTGAGCAGGGGTTAGCGCCCCCACTCACCACAGCAGCAGGAGTCTTGGGGAAGCGGGAGTCACAGCAGCCTGCCCACGCTGAGGCTAGAGCACTGTGCTTCCTGCCCCTGCGCCAAATCAGAGCAGCCGGGCTGGCCTGGGAGATGATGGTGGAGCAGAGCAGGCTGCTGCGTAGCTCCGCATCCCTGCAGCTGTGCCAGGCTCCCAGTAATCCCCCAGGCTGCATCCCTCGAGGGACAGGACTTGGGGAGGGGTGCAATGGGAGAGAGGGGGTGGGATGAGGCAGGGCGGAGCAAGGGCTGAACTGAGGGAAGGATACGGACAGCCCCACCCTCCGAGGGATGCAGGGACTCACATGCCCACGGCTGTGCGTGGGCCAGACTGTGGAATTGCTGGGGCCGTAGATGGCCCACGGGCCATGACTTGAGCCCCTTGGACTAGATAATTCAGTGGTCCTGTCTGGCCTCAGACTGTATGAATTGAGCAGAGGAGGGGTTAGTGTGACGCTCGGGGCTGCTAGTCAGCAAGCAAACTGCAAGTTCTGCTGAACGTTCTCTCCACGTTAGCCACGCCACTTGTGGGCACCCGTGCTGGTGGGCTCTTGTACGCAGTGCGCTTCCCTGTCATGCTGAGGTTTAATTTCCAGGAAAGCACAGGGCCCTGTTTGACATGGGCATCTGCTGCTTTCCCACCCCATTTGACGTGGAGCCATGTACATCTCTGCTGTGCGTTGGTCCTCGAGCAGGGGCGGGCAAAATATGGCCAGCATGCCAAGCCTCCAGATCCGGCCCTTGTCACAGTGGGAGCCTCTGCCGGGCTCCCTGCCCCCGCATGCTGCTGAGACAAGCTTGCTGCCATGCCCATGTACTTCCGTGAGTGCTGCAAGCCTGAGGGGAGGGGAGAAGAGGCGTGTGTGCTGCCCATAGGCATGCGCAGGGGGTGATCTGAAGCTTATCCCTGAAATAAGAACAGCTGTACAAGATAAGAATTTGCTTGTAACAAGTTTTTAAGTGAATTAGAAGTAGCTATGCATTTTCTATTCATTTTAATTAAGTAACTTACTTTGATCTGTCTGTTTTCACTTGCAAACATTTAAATCCTAATTTTTGCACTTAATAAAACACTTGTTTCTTATCAGGCCCAATGTAAATTGTTGCTATCTGGGGAAGAGCAACCACTGTGCATATCTCTCTTTCACTGATAAAGAGAACTAACCTTATGAGCTTTCCACATGTAAAACTTTTACACAAATAAATTTATTTGGGGTTTTGATCCCTTTTGGAGGTTGGTTTCCCAGGTGCTGTGCCCTAGAACTGAGTTCTTCTAGAGCTGAAGAGGGTCAGTGTCTGCATTGTTCTGCTGTGGGCTGACAACCCCAACTCTGGGGGAGACCAGAGGCTCTGGTCCAACAGGACAGGGTCGTGGGTAGCCCCAGAGAGCAAAAAGGTGACCATCAGTGGCATGATCAGCACACCAGGGAATAATCCTAAGGGGACTTCTGTGACTACATCCTGGCACACCACTATGGCCGTTCTTATGTTCTTAATCCACTCTGGGAGGTTGTTCCAGTGCTTAAGGGCTGTTACCAATTGTGCGTCATTTCTGTTTGATTGTGTTTGGTTTTAACTTGTAGCTGTTGGTTCTTGTTTTGACTTTCCCAGCTAGATTCAAGAAACCTTTAGTACCAGGTATTTTTCTCCCCAGAAAGGTCCTTGTATGCTGTAATCAGATCACTTCTCTCTTCATTTTGATAAGTTAAAGAGATGGAGTGCCTTACCACTTTCAGATTAAAGCATTTTTTCAGCCCTCATGCTATTTTTGAGGCTCTTGTCTGCACCCTTTATAATTTTTCAACAGATTTTTAAAAATGTGGACAACAGAACTGACTGGTCTTGCCAATGCTGTATACACAAGTAAAACCACCTGCCTAGCCTACTTTCCTGTTTATATGCCCCAGAGCTCATGATCTGGAGTTTCTGCAGCTACTTCTCATTAGGAATGCAAGGGAAAGTGTAGCCTTCCTACTAAGCTATATGTCTTCAGTCCTTACTCGTCAAGCGCACTGGCCCGGAAGAGGGCAAGAGGAGACGGAGCTGCTTTGGTGCTAGCTGGGCACACAGCGGAGCATTTACACAACGTCTTGGTGCTGGCACACTGCCATTTCATCTGGCTCCAGTCCTTGAAAAATGGTAACAGTTTCCAGAATGTTCCGGATGCTTTATGTTGGGCTGAGTGAGCAGGAGAGAGACCCTCCAAAAGGGCCTTTCTCAGCGTGCGTCCTGCCACCTCTCACCTGAGCAAGGGAGGGGGAAGGGTGAGAAACTGGGAGCCAGTGTGGGGCAGTCCAGCTGGGCCTGGGCGGGGATTGGAGGACTGCCTGGAACTGGTTTGTTTGCTGCCAGCAAACAGCCTCCACTCATGTTCTCTCTCTCTCTCTTTTCAAGGTCCTGGCCACGGTCCCTGGAGCTATGCAGGTAAATATCCTGTGGTTACTCTTACCCTTTCATATCACACAGCGGGCCTTGGGCCTGTGCCAGCAGGGTTAATTATTACAGGGCTGCCTTGCTCACTCCCATGCGCTGCTGTGCCTGGCCCATGTTCAGCAGCAGAGGTGGGGTCTGGGACCAACCCCCAGATGGCTCACAAGAATTTCTGGGGTGAGGTAGAGCTCATCAGATTCCAGTAGCACGGGGTGACCCTCTCAGATGTTGTTCTTGGCTCCTCCCTGTCCGTCCGTCTCGGGTTCCCAAGGCTTAAAGGTTCATTCATTCACTGAGCGGCAAATCACTAACCTCTGGAGTCGCTGGAAGCAGAGCCCTGTGTTCACACAGACCTGGGGTTGCTCCCACTGTAGGAACGTCGACCCCTGGCTCGGAAACACGTCGTCTCTTTTCTTTCAGTACAGCACAGAACTGTGTTGGGCTAAGGCTACGGGGGCATTTGGCACAGGGCTGAGCTGTGGCCCCTGTAGCGCTAAGTATGGCCAGTTTGTGGTGATCAGTCGGGAATAATTGTGTGAAAGCATCTGGGGCTCTGTGAAAGGCAAACAGCTGCAAAGAGCGGTGGGGGGCAGATGTGACAAGGAATCCCATAGCACCAGAACTGGATGGTATCTCGCAAGGTCATCCCTTCCAGTCCCCTGCCTTGTGTGGGGCAAGCAGCTTAGAGTGAGATCCAGGGGAGGAGGGTCCTCTTAAAATAAGAAATAAGGGATCTTTCGGAAAAGGCTTTATTTTCCGAAAGATCCCCGTCTAGACTGGCGCTTTTTTCCAGCCATGTTTATGCAAATGAAGTGGGGGGGAGTTAAATCCCCACTTCATTTGCAATTGCGATGTGTCTAATTTGCATCCCTTTTACGGAAAAGGGATGCGGTCTAGACACAGCCTGCAGGTACATGCCCAGAAAGGGCATAGATATGGGAGAGCATGTGTGTGAAGCAGCCAATCAGGATAAGCACCAGGGGAGAAATGTTCAGGATGGATGGCGAGGGAGAACCAGTCTCTCCCTTGTGCTCACTGCAGACCACAGTTCCTGGGTATTCATCCTAAACTGCTCCCCTAGCTTCTTAATGTGAGTCACGCCCTAAGCAGAAGAACCATGTAAACCGTCCCATGGGCCCATCCTACCCAATGTCCATCCCTAACTACATCTCTTCATGCTCTGCCTGCATCAGACCCCTCTCGTGCCCACCCTGGATGCTCACTCAGAAAGTCTCTTAACACAAAGCTCAGCTTCCACCCTCCATGCACATCCTACCCTGCTTCCTGGGGCTTGTGCTGAACATCTCTCCGCCATCCGCCCCAAACCGCTCTGCTCTTCCCTGGCTGCCCATTGCAAAGCCCTGTCCAAGCGCTCCCCTAAATGAGTCCCAGGTATTCCACCCTACACCAGTGGTTCTCCAGCTGCAGTCCACAGATGTCTTGCAGGTGAGCCAAGGCTCGAGCTCAGCTCCCCTCCCTCCCCCAGCAGCGGGGAGCCCACAATGGCCCTGCAGCCTCTGCCTCCCACGAGGTTGGAGCATCAGCGTCAGCTCCCCATTGGGGGGAGGGGAGAGCCCTGAGCCTCCCTGCTGAATCTGGCTTGCGGGGAAGAAGAGGAGCCAGAAGCGGCTCCGTGCACTGCCACGCCCCCTCCCTTGGTGGGGGGAACAGCAACACACGGACGAGATGTCTAGAGATTTTCCCCACTGATCCCATTGGCTGTGACTGGGACATGGTGCTGGGAGTGAAAGGGGGGGGCATGCAAAGGCAGGTAAGTGTCTTCCCTTCCCCTCCCCTCATGCCCAGACCCCTTGCCCCCCACCCCTCAACACATCCCCTCTGCTGAGACCCTGCCCCCCCATCCCGCTCCTATACCCTCCCTTGCTCCTGCACCCAGGGCCGGCTCAAGCCATTCCTGTACCCCAGGCAGCGGGTGCGCAATGCATGTGCGGCTCTGCCCCCAGGCGCATGGTGCATGCATGGCCCTGCCCCCCGGTGCGCTGCGCACCTTGCAGCTACAATCGGGCACGCGGTACCTGATGGCAGCTCTAAAGGGCTCCACACAGCCCCTGGCCCCAGGTGTGCAGCGCCTGATGGCAGCTCTAAGGGGTGCCTCATGGCCAGGCATGCGGGGCTCCTTACAGCTGCCATCAGGCGCCCCCCATAGGTTAGTGCCCCGGGCAGCTGCCCAGCTAGCCTCCCTCTTAATCTGGCCCTGCCTGCCCCCCAGCCAGACTCCTATTCTTACCCTGCTCCCGCACCCTGCCCCCCCAGCCAGACACCCTACTCCCAGCCTGCTCCTACAGCCTCCCTTACTCCTGCGTTCTCCCTGCTGGCCAAACACCCTGCCCACAGCCTGCTCCTGCACCCTACCCCCCCCCGCCCGCTGTGACATAGAGGGGGTGCTGTCTGTTTCTGTAACCCTGTGTCCATTCTGACGTTGCATTCACCATTTGTCTTATGGGTTATATGTGACACTACTGTCGTGTGCTGCTCTGTAGTCATGCTGTGTGTGTGCGCGCCTCAGTTTCCCCAGGCCCTGCCACACTAGCTGCATGAGGAGGGCGAGGCTGGATTTGACTCACTGGGGAAGTATGTTCAGTCTGTCACCTCCTCTCAGGATGGGCTAATGATTCTCCCGGGCTCGCTGTCCCTCGCAAGGCTGCATCTGGAATCAGTAGCAGAATTGAAGACAAGATGGAGACGGCCTCATGGCATCTTATATCCATCCCTGGTATCTCCCAAGCTGGAGTGGGTCACATGGCCCAGTGGCCTATCCTTGTGTCCCATGGCAGCAGCCATGATATTGGCAGGTTTGCAGCTGTATCCCTCAGGTGTGTACTGGGCACCTTGGGAGACATTGTCCCTGGAGCCTCGCCAATTAGCTTAGTCATTGGCCAATTGCTCTTTACAACAGGCAGGGTAGAGCCCACTGCTCTGTCTCGGCAGAGAACATGCCCAGTATAAGCACAGAGTCCACAGTCGTAACTCCACACTCAGCTCGCATACAAGTACATGAGTAGCAGACACAGAATCAGTAGAACACAAGTGTTCATTTGACACCTCACATGGCCCCCCCCCCTCCCCGGCACAGCAGTGAGCTGGCTGCTCCCTTTAAAATTCAGTAACATGACACAGGTCTGGCTGCAAATCATCTTCTCGCCACTTGTCCAGCACGCCTTAAAACAGATGTGCCCAGCAGTGTGCCGAGCCCTGCCCTGTGACAGCTGCTCAGCGATGCCAGCAGGGGTGGTGGCCGTCACTTCTGGCTGGCGGAGCAGGCTCGGCCATTAGCAGCTCAGACAGGAGCAGTGCTGTGCCTGCAAGGCGTCTGAGCACCCTGGAGGGAGCTAGAGCCGGGCAGCAGCCCCCCAAAGCACTGTGCCCAGGGCAGGAGTCATGAGGCGGGGCAAGAGGCTGTCTCCCTCCCCCATGCTCTGGGGTGGAATTCAGGGGGTATCAGTGACTGGACTGGGTGGGAGTAACCACACTGCTCTGCACCCAGGCCCACTCAGTGGCAAGCACAATCCCGGCGGCACTTGGCAAGAGGAAATGGCAGCGTGTGTCGTTTCCCTGCAGGCCTCTGACATCCCCATCGTTGGAGGGCCGCATGCAGGGACTACC